GGGGAGAGGGGACCATGAGCACACCCCTGCCCTGCCTGAACTGACTGACTGACGATCTGTTAAGTCAGCTGAGGCCCAAGGGTGCTCTGCATTAGAAAGCGCCTGAGCAGCCAGCCCCAGGGCACCTTGGGACAGAGGGTGGGAGGGGGGCTCAGCTATGGCTTCTGCAGGGGATCCCAGGGGGTGGGCAGTGGGACCGGGACCGAGGGGTCCCGAGGCTTCACCAGGGAGGCAGCTGCCGCTCAGCAGCTCAGGCTCTGAGTGAGGAGCCCTGTCGGCTGTGAGCCGGCCAGTGGGTGTGACAGGAGCGGGCCTTTCAGCCGTGAGAGGCTTCTGGGGCTGGCGGAGGTCAGCGAGGAACTAAGCTTCCCAAAGGGGAGCTGCCTTGGACGTACCGCCGTCTGTCTGGCTACTTTGGGTGAAGCTGGGTGAGAGACCAGGGCTTGACCCTGGTGGACTCCTGGGTGCCTTCCCCCTGGAGGCTGCCTCAGGGGGGTGGAGCCTGAGGACGCCCCGGGGTGGCAGGGCTACCTGCCTGTGGGGTGCCAGGCCCCAGAGGCGATTTCTGGCCTGTGGATAAGAAAAGGGGCTTGCACCAGGCACAAGGGCAGACGTCTGAGCCAGCCCAGCCCAGCCCAGGGTCCGCCTCCCTCGGGGGCAGCGGGCGGAGGGCCTGGTGGACAGCGGTGGGGAGAGATGTCTGTAGTTTTGCCCTTGGAGGGTGCGGTAAGGCTGTTCATCCCTAAATGTGTGCAGTGGTTTCCCAGCCCGGGAAGGTGAGTTTATTTCCAGAATCTCCGCTCTCCAGCCACTGAGCCCCGGGGTACAGGGTGCTCAGGGGCCCTCCCCTGGAGGGGCCCTCCCCCGGAGGCCCTGCCCCTGAAACCTCCCCCTTCCTGAGTCTGGGGTGGTGGTCTCCATTTCTGTGAAGGGACCGCCCCCCCCCAACTCTGCACCCAGGTGTGCCACCTCCGCTCTCTCTCTCCATCCTTCTCTCCTACTCCCACGGGGTAATTTTGGGGTGTTACTCTGAGCTGCATACACTGTGCCAGGTGCTAGTACACAGGGATGGCTTAGACATGGCTGCTGCCCCAGGTGGAGACAGACACCTAAACGATTGCACAGCACCTGCCTCCTCCCCCTGGTCGGTACCTCCATCCTGCAGCTCCCTGCGTGCCTGTTCCCCAGACTTGGGCCTGGGAGCTGCTTCCCGGTCTCTCAAGGCAGGCTGAACAGGAGGGACTGGGAAGCCCCGTCTCCACCCTCCAACCCCAGCTGTCCCCTTATCCGCATCCCCTGTTTGCATCCCAGCATGTCATGAACTAGCTGAGTGGATTTGGACAAGTTATTCCCAGAGTGTCCGTTTCCCCACCTATAAAAAGAGGACATGTGGACCTATTTGGTTGAAATTGTTTGTGAAATTAAATGAGGTGTCACATATAAAGCACCAGGCACATAAGAGGCGCTCAGTACACACTAGCTCTTAATATTATGATCATTATTACCAGCTACAGGACCAAGTGATTTGCCATTTTTAGTGTGTTTTGTCCTCCTATTGGAGACTATCTGGTAGTTACTCTTATTAACCCCATTTTACAGATGGGAAAGTCAGGCACAGAGGGAGGGAGCAACTTAATAAAGGGCAGCTCTCTTATTGTGGTCCCTTTCCTTGGAGAAAGTATTTGAAGATCTGTGCCCCAGCCCTTCCCTCCGTCAGGCCTCAGGGGGCGGGTCCATGGTCATCTCCTCCAACCCTGCAGATATCAACGAGTGCCTGACCCTGGGCCTGTGCAGGGACTCGGAGTGTGTGAACACCAGGGGCAGCTACCTGTGCACCTGCAGGCCCGGCCTCATGCTGGATCCCTCGAGGAGCCGCTGCGTGTGTGAGTGCGGGTGGGGGACGGGGGCGGGGGACACTGGGTGGCGAGATGGGACCCTTGGGGTTCACGGGCCAGGCCCAGAGCAGAAGTTCCCCCCAGGCCCCTTCCCACGGCCCAGCGGCTGCTACCCAACCTGGAATTGGGCCCAGCATACAAAACGGGTCCGTCCCCTCCTGCGGGACAGACAGCTGCTACTTCACTTCGGCTTTAGGCATCTCTTGGGACTTTGCAGTTCGGGATTTTCTACTCCTGTTCCATCTTTGGCCTCATTTACTTTGGGGGATGTGTGTTGCCTCTGTTCTAACATCTGGCTGAGCAGAGGCTGCCTCTTCGGCGCCTGAGCTTAGCAGCAGACCTTTCAGAGGGGGCCTGTCCGCAGCATGAATGCCCCTGCTGCCAGCCCCAGGCCTTTCCACAACCCTGTGGTCCCCTTGGTTCCGCATGTGTCTCTGCATCTGTGAACACGTACGTGTCACGAGTCCTATTGGCATCGTGTCCGTGTGTGCGTGCGTGTGCGCCCGGACAGCTGTTTCCAGTGACCTCTGTGGTTTCCAGCGGGGAGAGGCCCAGGCTGACAATCCCTCTCAGATGGCAGAGCTGACGCCGCGGTCCGGACGGGGCTTTCCTGGGGCAGGGAGGCCTGGCCAGAGCTGAGTAAAACCAGTACTGACTGGCCTCTGCCAAGTGACAGCCCGGGTCAGGTCGGCCACCCCGCTCAGCAGAGCTCCCTGTAGCTGGCTGAGCCCTCAGTCTGCAAGCGGCCAGGCACTAGGTCGGAGGAGACCACAGAATGAACAGGACTCCAGCGCCACCCAGAGGGAGCGCCCGTGTGAAGGGAGTTACTCAGCCCACAGTGTGTGTCTCCACAGGGAGAGGAGACAGTCCAAGCCTTGAGAGGGGACCCCCAGGGAGTGAGGGGCCCGGGGTGGGGAGGATATGTCAGGCCACTCTCAGAAGACCTCATGGTGACAGAGACAGGCAACCAAGGCTTTGAGGGGCATACAGTTCTTCTCCTCCCCACCCCATCCCACCCACACTTTCATTAGGCTTAATGTCGGAGGTGACATATTCGTGCCAAAAAGAGAGCCTTAATGCAGGGAGCAGAGATGGCCCTTGCGTGTTCTCCCTCTCCCCTCAGTGTTACCCCATCCAGCCTCCTCTGATGACTCATATCCATGAAGTGGGGCAGGGGAGGCACTAAGTTTCTCTCCCTTCATTTCTGAGCTTTGCCCTCCTTCCTGGCACCTGACCAGGGCTAGTAGAACAGCTGCAAGGGCCCTCTGGGCTGGGCGGCCTCCTGATGTTGCCAGCTGTGTCACCTCGAAGGGACCAAGCCCTTCCCTAGGGTAGCCCCAGGGAAGTGGCTGCTGGAGGCAGAGACTGAACCTGGAGACCATGGCTCATGAGCGGACTAATAACTGACATGTGTACAGAAACCCAACTCAAACCACTGTGAGCAAAAATAATTCATTGGTCCACACAACTAGGAGGTCCAGAGGTAGGGGTGCCGCAGGCCTGGCTGGATCCAGGCACCCACAGTGTCATTAGGATGGCTCTTGCTCTCTTCCTTCCGTGTTGATTTCTTATTCCTTCAAAGGTACCCACCAGACACTCTAGGCCTATAACCTCCCACCCGTGAAACTCAACAACAACAAATAGGAACATAAGAAGCATCTCATTTCTAATAATCCTGGAAAAGTCCCAAAGCTAATTAACATCATGGGCCTACTTATCAAGTGCCCATCCCTGATTCAATCACTGTGAGAGGGATATGGACTGTATTCCTTCAACCAGGAAGTGGGGACCAAGATTGAGGGAATAAAGGGTGGATCCCACAGGAAAACCAGGATGCTGTTACCAGAGTATGAGGGACAAACAGAAATACACGCATCCACCACCCATCGCCCTTAGCATGAAGGAGATAAGACCCAGGAGGTCATGTAGCTCATGGTGGGGCAGGGAGTTGAACTTGGGCTGTAGAGTCCTGACCAGGACTCCCAGAATCATCAATTCCTCAACTTTGAGTGTTGCCCTGTTCACCCCACCCTCTCCCCTCATCTGTCCCTCTGAAGATTTCAGTCTCTTCCAATGAAGCATCTTCCTTTGAGGTAATTTATAAGATAATAGTCTATAATATTTACTATCAAAGTACAATCAAGGAGCCTGACCAGTGTGACTCAGTGGTTGGCTATCAACCTATGAACCAGGAGGTCATGGTTTGATTGTCGGTCAGGGCACATGCCTGGATTATGGGCTCGATCCCCGGTGAGGGGTATGCAGGAGGCGGCTGATCAATGATTCTCTTTGATCATTGATGTTTCTCTCTCTCTCCCCCTCTCCCTTCCTCTCTGAAGTCAATAAGATATATATATATATATATATATATATATATATATATATATATATATATATTTAGTATATTTATTTTTTTATTATTGTCTGGAGATTTACATACGTCTCTTTTTCCCCCTATTAACCGCCCCCCCCAGCCATTCCCACCCTGGGCAAGCCCCCACCGCCCCAGTGTCTGTGTCCATTGGATATGCTAATTAATAATATTTTTATTGATTTCAGAGAGGAAGGGAGAGGGAGAGAGAAACGTCAATGATGAGAGAGAATCATTGATCAATTGCCTCCTGCACGCCCCCTACTAGGGATCGATCCCACAGCTTGGGCATGTGCCCTTGACTGGAACTGAACCCGGGCGGGACCTTCAGTCCATAGGCCTATGCTCTATCCACTGAGCCACACTGGCGAGGGCGGACCTGTGGTATTTTAAAAGATAAAGTAATTGTCATCCACGATGCATTTTTGAGCACCGCTTCCTGTGATGTGGGGAGCGAACATGGCTGAAGGCCCACGG